GTTTAGTTGACTACAAGTTCAGTGTATGTAACAATTTTGTCTAAAAAAGCAAGTTGAGAGCTGGGGCTATATCTCAGTGCTAGAGGCCTTGCCTAACATGTGTTAGGCACCACATAAATATAAATAAATAAAATAAAGGTACTGTGTCCATCTACAACCCAAAATATATTTTAAAAAAGCAAGTTGATTGATATTATATAGTATCCAGAATAAGGTTGTGTGTGAGAGAGGGACGGTGATTCTGCTCTTTCTGATGTAAGACCATTTCTGGAGTCCTGTGCTGAGTTTTGAGTACCACATTTTAAGGCATATTGACGGACCAGTGTCTGCTCAAAGAATAGGGATCATAATATTAAGAAATTTCAAACTATAATTTAAAAATTAATGTTTTACTGAATTGAAGATTTGAGAGTGATACAAAAGGATGTCATATATAAGACCTATAAGATTTTTTTTTTTTTTGCTGTGGAATTATAGACAGCAGAATTAAGACTAATAGAAATTTGAGGAAAGTTAATGTAGGTTCAGAAAGCATTGATTCAGTAACCATACATGGATTTTTTTCCCTATGCTCTCTGCAGTGCAATATAATAGCCAATGTGCCTGACTTTTAAAGATTTTAAGAGTACCTCATTAGATCCTTGGTGGCAATATGAATATAAATATATGAATTTATACTTTTCCTTATATTTAAGACTATCCATTGTGCTTATTTTATAGGAATATGTACCTGCATATACTTTTGTACACATATATACCCTCATAATAATAGATTTTTAACAGAATAGATATTGAGCTCAGTTGCTACTCATTAACCATACTTATACTATCGTGAATAAGACATGTATCAATCATACTTTACATGTGGTAGCTGGCTTTCTCTTCACAAAATGACTCATAAGAATACTTAATAAGAGGGTGTCATCAATTTTGTGGTAAGAATGTTTCAAATTGGTCTTATTTTGAGCATCAATGTAATAATAAATCTCATGTGTTAGCTGCATTAAGGATCTAGTTCAAAACATTTGAAGTTTTAAATTCTATGCTACAGATATAGACATAGATATTTGATTTGATAGTTTATTTCTTGGAATGAAGAAAATAAAGAAGAAAAAAATTCTCCTCCTGAAATAAAAGAATTCATTGAATAAGATATCTGAAAAAAACAGTGTTTTTTTTAAATTTCTGAAATGTTTATTAGAACTCCACCAATTTAGGAACCTTATAAAAATTTAATATCTGAAAATTATGTCTGAATAAATCAGGACTATAGTCAGGAAGGTATACATGTCATTAGTGACACACAGAGGCAAAATCAGATTTACTTTTTGCTGCCTGTTTTATTGATTTTCATGCTAGAATTCTGAAATTCCACTTCAGATAATTTCTTCCAGCTATTTCAACATTTAATTTTCTTTTAATGAAAATTCATTAATCTGGAAATATTGATGTATTTCAAAGTGTACATTCAAGTCACATAGAAGGTTATGTTTGTATAAAATGTGCTCTAGGTGGAATGATAGATGGAATTTTATATTTTAATTAAAAAAAGTTATAAGATACCAGACCTTTAAATCAAAGGTTGAATACCTAACTTTTTGAAGAAATAATCTCTACAACATAGTATGTAACTTTTCTGCCTTCTCAGCCTAATTGTAGGTATTTGCAAATGTTTTGTTTACCTGCTTATTCTACCTTTCTTTGCTTGGTCTTATTGGTTCTGGGTTTTGTAATGGAAGCCCTATTGAATATGATTTATAATCAGATGTCTTTCAGACAACATATACATCCTACATAATAAGAAAGACATTGACCCAATATGCAAAGAATCAGGAAAACTAACAATTTATGTTTTAGGCCTAGCTATGATGACTTCTAGGAAAGGTACAGTGATAAAAAGGAAGTTACATGAAATTGGTTTGATCAGCTAGCCCCAAATCTCACCTGAATTTTTTCCAAAAGTTTCTCAAAAAGATTATTTTGACTTCTGCTAAGGGTGCTTTTTGTTTGTTCTGCAAAGTTTCAGAGAGGCTGTGTTATAGTCACACTGACAAGAATACTATCAGCAGCATTGGTAGAGTTTTGCCATGCTTTTTATTACACATATATATTAATTTGTCCTTCTGTAGTTTGAGATTATAACTGCGAAAGGACATGCATCCTTTGATAGAAAAACCTGTAACTGAAAGTACATGCTTCAGAAACATGTTTTGAAAATTAGGGTTGCTTTGGAAACCATTGATTATAATTTCCTTTCATTAATGAACTAAAATATTGATTGGAAGTGAAAAGAGAAACATCTTATTTCTTTTCTAGACTGAGACTGGAAAAGAGACACAGCAGGATTTCAAAAAAGGCAAATAATATGTACCCTTCCAGTAATGTTAGGCAGATATTTATTTTATAGGTACAAATAAATATGAACCCAAGCTGCCTAGAGCACCCTCAGGGCTTTGAGCCTGTGCCTCAGCATGCACATAAATAGAGACTCATTCTTCTGACATAAATTAGGTTTTAGATAAAGTTCTGATGGAACATAATTGTCCATTAATCTGTTAAAGAAAAATTTAGTAATTAGGACTATTTTCTTCTTTAGTTCTTCATGCTAATTAATAAATATTTCCTTTTTTAGATAAAAACAAAAACAAATATGTTCATTTATCCCTCAGGGGCTAGAATAATGACAATTTTTTTAAAAATGATTATAAGTGTCTAAGTAGGTCATCTATGGTAACTTCAAGAAAAATAAGGAAAGGAAATACCAAAGTTCCAAACTTAAGCTTTGAAAGCGCCAACAATATTTCATAAACTTCTACATGTTGATGTCGCCCAAGGCCAGCTCATTTCTTATGGCATAGTATTGTGAATTAGATTATCTTGGAAGCTAGAATTATGTTTATAAAACAAATTTCCAGTCCAGAAAGAGGAGAGACTAATTAACACTGATCATAAGAAAAGAAAATATGTTAATTATAAAAATCACAAAACCTATGTCAACTAAAGACACATTATCAATATCACAGCTTTAGAGACTTTTAGTGACTAATTAACCATGTGTCTGGGTGTAACCCTAACCTGATACAGGGCTGAGAGCGCACTTTGGGAGCCAGTGCTCAAAGCATATGGTGCATAAGAGTGGGCTGAAGCAAAGGAAAAGAGGAGAAACTGTCACTATTTCTATCTCTCAAAACAGTATTTCTGGCAATATAAATGTGTACTTATTGGATTATATGCCATATCTTGTTATCATGTGTAACTTGTAATATGATATAAACCATTATGTTGGCTCAACTGATAAAAATAATCCACTGCTTATGGACAAGTGGACATACTTCTGTGATGAGTAATAGAAGCTCCATTTCCATAGAATGTTCTCTGGCGTCAAATACTTAGTGTGCTTTTGCAATCACTTTATCACATGTATTTGGAAGTTTCTGGTAGACTTGTGTGATATCTAACATTTAGAAATATAATAATTTTAAATGATAGAAATATTTATTATATAGATCACTATTTTATTGTTGCTTCAACAATTAATTACATTAGCATAAAGTTTTGGCCTTTCTGTGATGATAGCAATTATACTGTAGAATATGTTGATAATTTAATCTAATCTAAGAAAAATCTTAGTCTTTCACATGTGTGCATGTGTATAGGTGTATACCTCTAATAAAAACCACCAAAACTTGCTAAAAATGTATTAATCAGAAACTATAGATCTCTTTAGATTGTTGTTTTAAAATTTGAAGATGTGACTTTTTTTTCACATCTTTGAATTTTGTTGAAATAATTTTTAGAAATGGTATTTAACTGTAGGTAAATAATGATTAAAACAAATTAGTTTTAAAATTAATTATAAATATTTGATGGAAATAGAAGACGTCAGTAGTTAATATTGAACTGCCTAAACTGGAAACTCAGAAGCCAAAGTAAATTCCCTTAACCAGCTAAATTCCTAAGACTCCACTGAGAATGTGCACATCCTCCCAGGGGTATCTCATTCTAGCTGGTGTGCTGTTCACAGACCAGACAGACAACTTGTCAAAGAAGACCCATGAATTCCAGCAATGGAAACTGATAGCCATCTGCTGAAAACCTTTATCCCCAAGACAGGAACCAGAAGAATGGAAAGAACTAAAAATTCTTCCAAGTGATTATTTCGTGTAAAATGGCATTATATATGACTACAAAATCAATCAAAAGGCAATCAGCAGAAATAGATAAGAAAGTAAACATGATAAGAATATATGTATGTGTTTGTGTATACATACATATTTCAGACTCTAGGTAAGAAGATACTTGGGCTGGGGTTATGGCTCAGTGGTAAAGTGCTTGCCTACCACATGTGAGGCACTGGGTTCATCCTCAGCACCACATAAAAATAAATAAAATAAAGGTATTGTGTCCATCGACAACTAAAAATAAATTTTAAAAAAGACACAAGTCAGAATTAAATCTTCTCCCAGAGACAGTTAAAGAAGGCATCGAGGCACACAGAGCTAAACTGTGTGCATTAGAATTCCAGTTCCACCACCTACTGCTGTCATTATCTAAAAGGCAGTCGTGGTAATAATATTGACCTGATAGGTTTGTTAGGGGAACATCACCTGTACCATAAAAAGAACTCTGTCAGACTTTAATGTTATGCCCAGAGGTTTGAAAGAAAGAACATAAAATAAGGATGCTAAACAGCATATGGAAAAGCAAGCTGTGGCCAGTGAGACATCATTTCAAATCTCAGGTACTGCTACAAATTGGATGACCTTAAGCATACTATTAACCTATAAAAGCCTCCCTCCCTTTCCCTACTTTAAAGTTGAGATGGTAATCCTGGAGTTGCGATCTAATGGACAGATGGAAAGTCTGTAAACATGACAGATATTCAATATTAGGCTACTCTTCCCCATAACATTAGTGTTGGTTATTGAAGACTACACACACAAACAAAAAAAGTCTTTGTTTTTGTGGCTAACAAAATTTATTCTGTTTACTTTTTTTAGGGTGAAAATGGTTTACCTGGTGCCCCAGGCTTACCTGGTCAAAAGGTAGAGGTTTTGTTTAATGTTTTATGTGAACTAGGGAGTTTTTGCAACTTGACAATTGAATTTGTTCATACTATAATAGAGATTCAGAAAATGTATTTTATTTATTTTTTTTAAATTTTTTATTGTTGGCTGTTCAAAACATTACATAGTTCTTGATATATCATATTTCACAATTTGATTCAAGTGGGTTATGAGCTCCCATTTTTACCACATATACAGATTGCAGAATCACATCAGTTACACATCCATTGATTTACATATTGCCATACTAGTGTCTGTTGTATTCTGCTGCCTTTCCTATCCTCTACTCCCTCCCCCCCCCCCCTCCCCTCCCCTCCCCTCCCCTCCCCTCCCCTCTTCTCTCTCTGCTCCCTCTACTGACATTCGTTTGTCCCCCTTATATTATTTTCCCCTTCCCCTCACTTCCTCTTGTATGTACTTTTGTATAACTCTGAGGGTCTCCTTCCATTTCCATGCATTTTCCCTTCTCTCTCCCTTTCCCTCCCACCTCTCATCCCTGTTTAATGTTAATCTTCTTCTCATGCTCTTCGACCCTACTCTGTTCTCAGTTACTCTCCTTATATCAAAGAAGATATTTGGCATTTGTTTTTTAGGGATTGGCTAGCTTCACTTAGCATAATCTGCTCTAATGCCATCCATTTCCCTGTAAATTCTATGATTTTGTCATTTTTTAATGCAGAGTAATACTCCATTGTGTATAAATGCCACATTTTTTTTATCCATTCATCCATTGAAGGGCATCTAGGTTGGTTCCACAGTCTAGCTATTGTGAATTGTGCTGCTATGAACATCGATGTAGCAGTGTCCCTGTAGCATGCTCTTTTTAGGTCTTTAGGGAATAGACCGAGAAGGGGAATAGCTGGGTCAAATGGTGGCTCCATTCCCAGCTTTCCAAGAAATCTCCATACTGCTTTCCAAATTGGCTGCACCAATTTGCAGTCCCACCAGCAATGTACAAGTGTACCCTTTTCCCCACATCCTCGCCAGCACTTGTTGTTGTTTGACTTCATAATGGCTGCCAATCTAACTGGAGTGAGATGGTATCTTAGGGTGGTTTTGATTTGCATTTCTCTGACTGCTAGAGATGGTGAGCATTTTTTCATGTACTTGTTGATTGATTGTATGTCCTCCTCTGAGAAGTGTCTGTTCAGGTCCTTGGCCCATTTGTTGACTGGGTTGTTTGTTCTCTTATTGTCTAATTTTTTGAGTTCTTTGTATACTCTGGATATTAGGGCTCTATCTGAAGTGTGAGGAGTAAAGATTTGTTCCCAGGATGTAGGCTCTCTATTTACCTCTCTTATTGTATCTTTTGCTGAGAAAAAACTTTTTAGTTTGAGTAAGTCCCATTTGTTGATTCTAGTTATTAACTTTTGTGCTATGGGTGTCCTATTGAGGAATTTGGAGCCCGACCCCACAATATGTAGATCGCAGCCAACTTTTTCTTCTATCAGACGGCGTGTCTCTGATTTGATATCAAGATCCTTGATCCATTTTGAATTAACTTTTGTGCATGGCGAGAGAAAGGGATTCAGTTTCATTTTGTTGCATATGGATTTCCAGTTTTCCCAGCACCATTTGTTGAAGATGCTATCCTTCCTCCATTGCATGCTTTTAGCCCCTTTATCAAATATAAGGTAGTTGTAGTTCTGTGGATTGGTTTCTGTGTCCTCTATTCTGTACCATTGGTCCACCCGCCTGTTTTGGTACCAGTACCATGCTGTTTTTGTTACTATTGCTCTGTAGTATAGTTTGAAGTCTGGTATCGCTATACCTCCTGATTCACACTTCCTGCTTAGCATTGTTTTTGCTATTCTGGGTCTTTTATTTTTCCATACGAATTTCATGATTGCTTTCTCTATTTCTACAAGAAATGCCGTTGGGATTTTGATTGGCATTGCATTAAACCTATAGAGAACTTTTGGTAATATCGCCATTTTGAAGATGTTAGTTCTGCCTATCCATGAACAGGGTATATTTTTCCATCTTCTAAGATCTTCTTCTATTTCTCTCTTTAGGGTTCTGTAGTTTTCATTGTATAAGTCTTTCACCTCTTTTGTTAGGTTGATTCCCAAGTATTTTATTTTTTTTGAGGATATTGTGAATGGAGTGGTTGTCCTCATTTCCATTTCAGAGGATTTGTCGCTGATATACAGGAATGCCTTTGATTTATGCATGTTGATTTTACATCCAGCCACTTTGCTGAATTCATTTATTAGCTCTAATAGTTTCTTTGTAGACCCTTTTGGGTCTGCTAGGTATAGAATCATGTCATCTGCAAATAGTGATAATTTAAGTTCTTCTTTTCCTATTTTGATGCCTTTAATTTCTTTCGTCTGTCTAATTGCTCTGGCCAGTGTTTCGAGAACTATGTTGAACAGAAGTGGTGAGAGAGGGCATCCCTGTCTTGTTCCAGATTTTAGAGGGAATGCCTTCAATTTTTCTCCATTCAGAATGATGCTAGCCTGAGGCTTAGCATAGATTGCTTTTACAATATTGAGGTATGTTCCTGTTATCCCTAGTTTTTCTAGAGTTTTGAACATAAAGGGATGCTGTACTTTGTCAAATGCTTTTTCCGCATCTATCGAGATGATCATATGATTCTTATTTTTAAGTCTATTGATGTGGTGAATAACATTTATTGATTTCCGTATATTGAACCAGCCTTGCATCCCAGGGATGAATCCTACTTGATCATGGTGCACAATTTTTTTGATAAGTTTTTGTATCCGAGTGGCCAGAATTTTATTGAGGATTTTTGCATCTAGGTTCATTAGAGATATTGGTCTGTAGTTTTCTTTCTTTGAAGTGTCTTTGTCTGGTTTAGGTATCAGGGTGATGTTGGCCTCGTAGAATGAATTTGGAAGTTCTCCCTCTTTTTCTATTTCCCGAAGTAGCTTGAAAAGTATTGGTATTAGTTCCTCTTTAAAGGTTTTGTAAAACTCTGCTGTATACCCATCCGGTCCTGGGCTTTTCTTAGTTGGTAGTCTTTTGATGGTTTCTTCTATTTCCTCAATTGATATTGGTCTGTTTAGGTTGTCTATATCCTCCTGACTCAATCTGGGCAGATCATATGACTTAAGAAATTTATCTATGCCTTCACTATCTTCTAATTTATTGGAGTATAAGGATTCAAAATAATTTTTGATTATCTTCTGTATTTCTGAAGTGTCTGTTGTGATATTGCCTCTTTCATCCCGTATGTTAGTAATTTGAGTTCTCTCTCTTCTTCTCTTCGCTAGCATGGCTAAGGGTCTGTCGATTTTGTTTATTTTTTCAAAGAACCAACTTTTAGTTTTGTCAATTTTTTCAATTGTTTCTTTTGTTTCGATTTCATTAATTTCAGCTCTGATTTTAATTATTTCTTGCCTTCTACTTCTTTTGCTGTTGTTTTGCTCTTCTTTTTCTAGGATTTTGAGATGAAGTATGAGATCATTTATTTGTTGGTTTTTTCTTTTTTTAAGGAATGAACTCCAAGCAATGAATTTTCCTCTTAGAACTGCTTTCAATGTGTCCCATAGATTCCGATATGTTGTGTCTGTGTTTTCATTAATCTCTAAGAATTTTTTAATTTCTTCCTTGATGTCTTCTATAACCCATTGATCATTCAGTAACCTATTGTTCATTCTCCAAGTGATGTATTCTTTTCCCTTCCTTCTTTTATCGTTGATTTTCAGTTCCATTCCATTATGATCAGATAGGATGCATGGTATTATCTCTACTCCTTTATATTGTCTAAGAGTTTCCCTGTGACATAATATATGATCTATTTTTGAGAAGGATCCATGTGCTGCTGAGAAAAAAGTGTAACTGCTTGATGTTGGGTGGTATATTCTATATATGTCAATTAAGTCTAGGTTATTAATTGTGTTATTGAGTTCTATAGTTTCCTTATTCGACTTTTGTTTGGAAGATCTGTCCAGTGGTGATAGAGGTGTGTTGAAGTCTCCCATGATTATTGTATGGTGGTCTATTAGACTCTTGAACTTGAGAAGAGTTTGTTTGATGAACATAGCTGCACCATTGTTTGGGGCATATATATTTATGATTGTTATGTGTTGTTGGTGTATGGTTCCCTTGAGCAGTATGTAGTGTCCCTCTTTATCCCTTTTGATTAACTTTGGCTTGAATTCTATTTTATTTGATATGAGTATGGATACTCCTGCTTGTTTCCGAAGTCCATATGAGTGATATGATTTTTCCCAACCTTTCACCTTCAGCCTATCTATGTCTTTTCCTATCAAATGCGTCTCCTGTAGGCAGCATATTGTTGGGTCTTGTTTTGTGATCCATTCTACTAGCCTGTGTCTCTTAATTGGTGAGTTTAAGCCATTAACATTTAGGGTTATTATTTAGATATGGGTTGTTCTTCCAGCCATATTTGTTTATTTATGTTACTAAACATGGTTTGTTTTCCTCTTTGATTATTTTCCCCCCTTTAGTGTCCTACCTCCCACTGTTGGTTTTCATTGTTATTTTCCATTTCCTCTTCCTGTAATGTTTTGCCAAGGATGTTTTGAAGAGATGGTTTTCTATCTGCAGATTCTTTTAACTTTTGTTTATCGTGGAAGGTTTTAATTTCATCTTCCATCCTGAAGCTTAATTTCGCTGGAAACACGATTCTTGGTTGGAACCCATTTTCTTTCAGTGTTTGAAATATGTTATTCCAGGATCTTCTAGCTTTCAGAGTCTGTGTTGAAAGATCAGCTGTTATCCTGATTGGCTTACCCCTAAATGTGATCTGCTTCCTTTCTCTTGTAGCTTTTAAAATTCTCTCCTTATTCTGTATGTTGGGCATCTTCATTATAATGTGTCTAGGTGTGGGTCTCTTATGATTTTGCACATTCGGCGTCCTGTAGGCTTCTAGGATTTGGGGTTCTGTCTCATTCTTCAAGTCTGGGAAGTTTTCTCGTATTATTTCATTGAATAGATTGCTCATTCCTTTGGTTTGAAACTCTGTCCCTTCCTGTATCCCAATGACTCTTAAATTTGGTCTCTTGATGTTATCCCATATTTCTTGGATGTTCTGCTCATGGTTTCTTAACAGTCTTGCTGAGCTGTCTATGTTCTTTTCAAGTTGAAATACTTTGTCTTCATTGTCTGATGTTCTATCTTCTAAGTGTTCTACTCTGCTGGTAGTATTCTCAATTGAGTTTTTAAGTTGGCTTATTGCTTCCTGCATTTCTAGGATTTCTGTTTGTTTGTTTTTTATAACCTCTATTTCCCTGTATAGTTGATCTTTTGCTTCTTGGATTTGTTTATGTAATTCATTGTTGAAGTGATCTTTCATTGTCTGATTTTGCTGTCTGATGTCTTCCTTGAGACTCCAGATCATCTGAAGCATGTATATCCTGAATTCTTTATCTGACATTCCATCTGCTGCAGCTATTACCTCTTCTAACGTTGAGTTGACCTGCAATGCTTGTGGTCCTTTCTTTCCTTGTCTCTTCATACTGTTCGCGTTCCTTTCTACTTGGTGAAACTGTTGTGCTATTGAAGTTTCCCCCTATATATTTATATTGGTCTTGTATAGTTGCAAAGTCTCCCTCGCAGGCGCGGGCGGCGGCTCTGTCCCTCTGCGGGCCGCTAGGCTTGTTCTGTCGGTGGTCACAGTTCTGTCTACTTTGCAGGCGCAGGCAGCGGCACTGCCCCTCTGCAGGCCTCTGGGGCTGTACTGCCAGTGGGTCGCAGGTCCGCCTACCTTGCAGGCGCTGGGGGGAGGGGGCGGCTCTGCCTCTCAGCAGGCCGCTGCTTCTCTTCTGCCGGTGGGTCGCAGGCCCGCCTACCTTGCAGGAGTGATTGGAAGCTCTGCCACTCCGCGGGCCACTGGGCCTTTTCTGTCAGTGGTCACAGTTCCACCTACCTGGCAGGCGCGGGGGGTGGGGGGCGGCTCTGCCCCCCAGCAGGCCGCTGGGCCTGCTCTGTGTGTGGTCACAGTTCCCTCTACCTTGCCGGTGCAGGGGGAGGGGGCGGCTCTGCCTCTCAGCAGGCCGCTGCTCCTCTTCTGCCGGTGGGTCGCAGGCCCGCCTACCTTGCAGGAGTGATTGGAAGCTCTGTCCCGCCGCGGGCCACTGGGCCTTTTCTGTCGGTGGTCACAGTTCCCCTACCTGGCAGGCGCGGGGGGTGTGGGGCGGCTCTGCCCCTCAGCAGGCCGCTGGGCCTGCTCTGTGCATGGTCACAGTTCCCTCTACTTTGCCGGCACAGGGGGAGGGGGCGGCTCTGCCTCTCAGCAGGCCGTTGCTCCTCTTCTGCTGGTGGGTCGCAGGCCTGCCTACCTTGCAGGAGTGATTGGAAGCTCTGTCCCGCCGCGGGCCACTGGGCCTTTTCTGTCGGTGGTCACAGTTCCACCTACCTGGCAGGCGCGGGGGGTGGGGGGCGGCTCTGCCCCCCAGCAGGCCGCTGGTCCTGCTCTGTGCGTGGTCACAGTTCCCTCTACCTTGCCCTTGCCGGTGCAGAGGGAGGGAGAAAATGTATTTTATAAAACCAAATTTCATCAAAAACTCAAGAAGTTAATGAGGACCTATGGTCTCTTCTCAGAGAGACCATGCTAGGAGAGAGGGCAATCTGAGAACGTGAACAATAGTGCATTCTGAGTACTGGAAATACTGAAAGTGCAGATAATTTCTCTGGGAACATTTTCACTGTTATTAAAGCTTACAATGTACAGTGGAATAATTTTTAATGCCTTTGGATTTGGTTACTTCTTATTTATCCTTCTTTTTGTATATCCCAGGTTTATCTCAACATGATGGTTACAGTGATAAAATATTAAATATTACAAAGTCATTACAATCTTTTCTAAAACATGTCTTTCAGAATGACAAATGCATGATAAATGAGAAGGTTTTTGCTGGATAGGCTGCTTCTTTCAATGCCCAACATCTTTCTCTTTAAAAAAGTGAACATTTTTTTGTACCCTTTTACTGTCCAAAGACTTTCTGGGAAAGAGAATGATTGTATTTGACCAGCATAGCTACACGAGCATGTAGATTGGTATATTTCAGTTTCCTGGAAGGATGGGTGTCACTTCAGGTGGGGCCAGCTGTCATGATACAACCCAGATAATCCTACCACAAGGGACAGCATTATTTATGCAATATTAGATGCCCAGCAAAGCCAAGCATATCATTTATATGTTCTGGAGAAGTTTTTACACATTTTAGCAATAAGGTATCAGAAATTACTAGGCACTAGGTTTTTCTATGTGGCTAAAAATATCATTTTAAAATATATGCATTTGTTTATAGTTAACAGCTTTAAAAAATGCTTCCTTTACTTGGCCCAATAAAGATAATAAGATTGAACTGGCAGTGATGAAATGGTAAGCTTCTGAATTTCTTCACAGTAGTTCTAGACAAAACCCATTGATACAGCATGTGCTGCATCTGCGAGTCGAGTTGCAAGCCAAGGGATGTGCAGATTTATCTGCTGGGAAATAGTTTTGGACTTTCCAGCAGCTGTTTGTGGTGGCTGCATCATGCTGACATTGTGGCTGATGTACTGGAGGCATTTAGCAGCTTCAATGTCAGCTGGAATTAACGGATCAAATTAAAGTCTATATTTTAGGAAAAATGGTAGGGAAAAAAGGTAGGCAATACATTCAGTGGTAAAAATATCTTTCAACTAACCTATTATCTTCCCTGGTAATTTTTTTTGAGAGTAGGTAAAGCAAAAATAATTATATAATCTTATATGTGTATATGTGTACCTATCACATGTATTTGTATGTACATGTATCAAATTATACATTCACAAACCATGTATACAGTATTAAGTTGGCATTCTTTTTCATATAATTTATATGAATTTAAATTATGCCAGGTGTCACCTTGTAGAGGCATTATAGACAAACTGGAGATAAGAAACTCTTGACCTCTTGTCTTAGTGCCCTCAGGAAATGCTTCCTGAATGCTTTTATGTCAAAGAGTTCCAGAAGTAGAGGGGTGCATATGACCCATCCCCAATAGTCACTTGCTGACTATGTTGTTGAGCGCCTGGCATGGAGGAGACATCAGTGAATATCTGTTGACTGTATGGAGGTAACATGAGTGCTCTCAAAATCTATACCCAATTGAAAGAGGAACTAGGCTCATTGCATCAGAAAGGATTTACTGGAAGAAAAGGGGCCTTACATTTTTCAGAATAAATTTGGCAATTAACAGCCAGCAGCTCTGTGACCACCTGTCCTTTTTGTGGCTGAAAGGCAGGAGAGAGGGACAATGGAGAGCACTGTGCTGGTGAGGGAACAGGAGGGAGCAGGAACAGAACTTCCTGAAACCAGAACTCACTCATCCTGAAACTCTCACTGGAAGGATGTAGCAACATCAGCTTTCCAAGAAGTGTTTCTCTTGGATCTAGTATAATATAATAAGTAGTGATAATAACAAGAATGACATAGTCTGTGGTAGGCTCTATGCTGATGATATGTTTAACTCTCAAAACAAGTCAATGAGCCAGGTACTAACTACTAGCATACTTATTTTAGACATGGGAAAATTCAGGCTTATCAAGATTAAATTACCTAGAAGCTACTAGAAAAATGTTCTTTCAGAATTCAGGAATATTTAAATTCTGTGTTATTTAATATTGGCTTAGAGCTTACATAGTAGGAATTATTATATTAAACTATTGATTTTTTCATTGTTAGCAACATTATTTTTACTTTAAGATTATATGTATTGTAAGTATTATTTTCTTATACATACCACACTCCTCTTCTACAGGGAGAACAAGGTTTTGAAGGCAGCAAAGGAGAAATTGGTGAAAAGGTAAATCTCTCTCCTAATATATACATCTGTAAAGATAAATTTTGTTCTTGAAAATATTGTAAACATATCTAGTTTCTAGCTTTTTGTGTGCTCTTTGTCAGCAATTCAATAATTTTATAGGAATAACTAAAAGTATTTACTTCAATTTAATGGTGCTGATTATTGTTAGAAATCTAAACTTTTAGATGGTAGTTAGACATTTCTAGTTAAATTCATTCCATGGATATATAAATGATACAAACATTCATTAAGTGCTATATTTTGTTATGTCATTGGTCTACAATGTCCAAGTCTTTAAATGCTTTGTTCATTTGTATACCTGGTTTACTAGTGAAATTCATAAAGAATAAATAAGAACTAAATGTAACCATCAGGGTCTCATAGAAAAGAGAAGGTACAATAAAATTAGAATAATGTCAAAGATTTTAATAAAAGGTGGTTTTAAAAGGTATTAGCAAGATAAAAGAAAAGAACAAGGATTTGTAGTATCCCAGGTCAGGTTACAACAGACTTTTAAAATCCCACACAATTACCCCACCCAGAGGAAGAGAAAACTATATGATGAAGGCTATAGAAGGAAGTGTGAGGAGCATGAGTCCAAGGCTGTCAGTCTCAAGGAGGATCCAGGGCAATAAATGCCCCCATCACTCTGTCCTTCAGCCTGAGCTCTCATGCTGTTTACTCCCAATGGCCAAACCAAACTGAGAGCAAAGGGATGCTGCCCATGGAGATTGGCCTCCCAGATATAGAAGGTGGGCAGTGGACCTTGAAGGACCAATGACAGATATCAGCCCCCTATCCTAAGAGCTGCCATCTCAAATTAAGTTCTCACAAAAATAAATTCTGGACAGTTAATTTTGCATTTTAAGAGAGTATTTTATTTTAATAAAAGACTACCAAAATCACTTCATGGTTCTTTAAAAATATTTAGACAATCATTGTTTTGCAAATGTATAGTTTTTATTGAAGTTACCAAGAATAGAAGTGTCTGATAATCTAAAATTTACCTTTAGATGATCATTTGAATCTGTCTGCATTTCAAAAAACGGAAACAATACCATTCCTTTGTTTCATTACTTTTGTATACATCAAATGCCATGAAATTGAACAGCAAGAAGGACTAGAAAGAGGAACAGATAATCTCAAATTAGTGTTGCCTGCATTTAGCTTTCTTGGCAGTGATCAGTTATTTGCTGCTTCAATAAGTATTTATAGAGACAATGAGCATCTCTTATAATTATACACAAATTACACATGTTGTAAACTACATGATAATTACTTTTCCTCACTGAACTGTGAGGGAGAAAAAAAAATAGCCATATCATTACCATGCAATTGAGGAGAATTCCATTAAATTATGACTATTTTTAAAGTGGGTCTTTTCTCTTTGAAATCCCTTGAATACTTTTGTTTTATAGTAACAGTCATTGCAAAGCCATGCCTCCAAATAAATACTTTATTTACATGTGTTTTTGATTTATTAGTGGGAGTTTACCTGTAGGAATAAGTCCAACTCAGGAAGGGCAGATATATTCACTGTAATTTAGTTACCAACACACTAAATCTTAGTAGTTATTTTGGTATTTTTTATAATTGATATTGCTTGGTAATGAAGGGATTCTCATAGGCTATAGGTATATAGAAAAGCATTTGTTATATTTTGATCCTAAGATTTCCCTTGTAGTTCCTCATACCTATTAACTGTTGTATTCAAATAGCCAATTTCACCATAAGGTAAAAATATTTATGGAGAATAATTGAAAGATATCAGAAAGAAGGCATCAAATATAAAAGATAGCACCTTGAATGAGAATCATAACTCCAATGATTTATAGTCAGACATAAGATTTGTGTAATAACAGTTATGTCAAAATATGTTCTGCATTGATTGTTATTTACTGTATATTAAATATTTGAGCCTTTATAGTATTATGTTCTGGAAAATACATGGATTCTGGCCCATATTGCTTACATTTTTCCATAAGGTAAATAACTGAGGTCCATTGATTGACTTCTGTTTTTAGATTAAACTAGTAAAGTCTATGAAGTGCTCATTTTGGTGTGACAACAACATGAGATTCTTGAATTGCTTTCAACATACTATTTTCTGAACAAAGTTAATCTAAATTGAATTTAAATTTCTTTTGGAAAGCTGAGTACATAATTATAAAGATACCAACATTCCTTCTTAGTTTTCTTTATTATGCCTTTACTCTGCTTAAACTTTGACAGTTTTGAGTAACACAATTCACTAGTTGCAAAATAAAATAAAATAATTGAGGAAGTTGTTCCTGGTCATAGATGGCATATCATGGACACACATGGCTACTGGTCAAAAAATTTAAAAACTGTATCAACTTTGAAAGATAAAATATTATGTGATGATTTCCAGGTGATATTTCTACAAACCAGTGAAAACTAAGTAGAAAAATCTGTTATTTTTTCATTATATTTAGAAAACTAGGTTTTAGGCTAACATAACTCAATAGACTGACCAATTGGTTCTTCAAAAAGTAGAATATGTATTCCTTAGCCCAGAGAAGAATCTATGTAATCTGAACAAGTACCAAGGACCTTGTTTGAAAGTGCAGTCATTCCTTTGTGTCTGTGAGTCTGATTGGAAGACTTCCCCACAGATAACAAAATCTGCACATGTTCAAGTCCCTTATACAAAACAGTGCATGTAACTCATGCATATTCTCCTTTATTCTTTAAATCATCTCTAGGTACTTATAATGCCTAACAATGTAAGCACTGTGCAAATATTTATTATACTGTATTGTTTAAAGAATAATGACAAGAAAAAGTCTGTACATGTTTAGTAGATGCAATTTCTTTTCCGAATATTTTTGAATCACAGCTGGTTGAATCCAAGGATGTGGAACCCTCAGATTCTGAGGGCCAACTGTAGTTGGCCTGAATCTATAACTACTTATAACAACAGGGAAGAGCCTCATATATTACTGAGCAAAAACAGTTCAGTCAAGTGAATCCTAAAGTGAACATTATTTTAAGGAGTGGTTAGTCCTTTCATAAATGAGCTACTTGCTGGGCACGGTGGTGTACACTTGTAATCCCAGTGGTTTGGGAGATTAAGACAGGAAGATCACAAGTTCAATGCCAGCCTCAGCAATTTAGTGAGACTCTCTAAATAAATAAATAAATAAATAAAAGCTTATTTATAAAAGCTCAGTGATAATGTACCTTTGGGTTTAATCCTAGTAACCCCCTATCCAAAATTAACTATTTATACTGATACTGGTAGGATCCCCCAGAAGACAGCTATTTTTGGTTCACCATGCTCTGATTTATCATTAGGACATAGGAATGAACCTTTCCCATGTCTCCAATCCTGGATGGCAAAATGAGGTATGCATTACTCAAGAATCCTTGGACTCTCCAGTAGCATGGTTCATGACACTGGGGATTGAGGGACCCTCCTCACATCTGACATCTTTTGGCTTATCAGTTTCTACAGAAGTAGTCTTTGTGAGATTTTCCTAAGGAAACTAAGGAATATAAGGTTCCTTCAGTATTATTGTAGGTGCTGAGTGGGCAGCTACTACTAATGGACAAAATGGAAAGCCTACTTTTGAGGTGACAGTTATTCCCAAATATCAGCTTTCCTAGAAATGACTTAGTCAAACTCTTGCTATATAACCAAATGTAAATGCATTAAATAAGCTCTTAATTAACATCGTGTTAGAAAAAAGACTACTCACTCCACAGATCACTGGAGTAATAAACTTTCCTAAATTCTGAACCTAGGCTTTTACTTTATGTCCTTGTGAAAATAGAGATATTACTTGGTTAAATTTATGAAAAGAAGAAGGAAAATAGAGAAAGAAGTGGAAATATATTCTTCAGTATATTATTCAATATTTTAAGTAATTGCTTCAAATTGTACAATTTAGTTTGCTTTTAACATGATTATTTTTTGTGTGTGTTGTCATTCAAGCTTTGACTAACTTGAAGTTTAAAAACTGACTTTCCTAGTTAAATTTGACCCTGTTGGTAGATATTTGAGAAAGACAAACATTCAGTGGAAATTGCCCTTTATGACACATATTTCCTGATTTATTATTTAAAATGTAGTTGATTTGGGTTTATCATAGGCATATATGATAACAAATTCTTACAAGAATCTGAGATGTTTCAGTTATTTTGGACTTTTTTCATTTGGGAAATTGAAACGATCAGGTCTCTTAAAGGTTTCTTAGTGAAAACAAATGAGCTTTTCTTCAAGAACTACAATTTAAGATGTGAACAGCATGTAACATTTGATATTTTCTTTAGCTGTGAGTGTCTACAGTTGAGCTATTAGTTTCTGGCTTACTCTCCTTTAGACTGTGGACATTATGTATTTGACCATCTTGTTTATTGGTGTCTTCTTCCATTCTAGGTTAAACTAATAACAATTAAAGTGACCACAAAACACACACGCAAATGGTTGCTGATTTAACTCATCTCTTAAAACTGTTGTTGGAAAACTAGTCATTGTGAACTTCCACAATGACTTGTGATTTTGATTGTCTTGCTGTTACCACAATGCTGTCTTAAAATGCCACATAATATATATTTAAGTCAAAAATTTTTGTTTAAATATCTATTAACTCTGGTTTTATAGCAGTTTCTTACATTTTCAGTTGAAAGAATCCACTGGAGAAACATTTCACTGATCTCTATTCTTTACTTAAAAACACATTTTTAAACTCTGTATAAAATGTGATATTTCAAGTGAACAAAATGATTAAAATGTATATCACAACCTAGGATAAAGTACATGTATATTTACTACCCCAAACTCTCTGGTGTTATTTATATTTAAGCCATATATTCAAACATTTGTACTTATTTTATTAGCAGTCAACATCAGGCAGTTTTCAGATGATACAATTGAAATTTCCATACATCAACCTAAAATAAAATATATTTAGGTTGTCTTGATTTTATTAATGTTGATTTCATTAGCGTTAATTTCATGTGCAGCCTTTTGCCTT